GCCTATTTACCTACCAGCATGTCTTTGGAGTGTGGGAGGAAACCAGAGTACCTGGAGGAAACCCACAAAAGCACAGGGAGAACATGCAAACTCCTTTGCAGATAGTGACCTGGCCGGTATTCGAACCAGGGACCCCCAGTGCTGCAAGGCAAAAGCGCTAACTATGCCACTGCGCTGCCCATAGGTAGAAGATGAATGTCTCATGTGGTGCATTGTAAGGCATCTGTGTCAGAGCTGCATTGCTTTTAAAATTGCATGAAACCACAGCATGCTAATACAGTACATGAAACGTGCATTAACATACTTTATGGTAACACACGCATTATTCCCATTACCGCAATGCACTTTGGCAGCAACATGTAAGTGGGCCCTAAATGTAATGTTATGCTGAGGTTATTATTAAATATTCATACACTTGTTCAATTTCAAAGAGTAAAGTGCAGTACCTAACACTAGTGATGACTAATCTAGCTGCAATAAGTTTGATTGCTGTAAGACTTGTGTTTACGGGTGTTATTTTCCTGCATTTGAAAACACGTCAAACATGTCGCCTTCAGATTCCCATTTACCTCAATGGTGCAGGGGGAATGACAGTTCTAAGTCTGCAGTTAATCTGTTTTGTGTTTCTGTGGATGCAGCATGTCCTATTGAGATTTGTTTATGCTTAAGGCAAAGCGTGCCAAATTCAGCATTTTGCTGTGATCTGTGTTTGAACGCTGCTGCATTTGAATTCGAAAGCCATCGTTCGATAGCAACGCGCCTGTAAAAAAGCCCATACGTGTCTTAATTTTGCCTGTTATTATAAGTCTTTAAATTAACGTAATCACTTTTTATGCATCCACTAAATGCTCTGTGGTTGATAGAAAAACTAAACACATAATCCTGCTGAACATCCAACTCTTTCAGAAACTCCTTGTTGAACTTTTTAATTCTTTAACATTTTTTCAGCCATTGAGGAATCCATTGAATTACTAATTTTGTATATATAAAACGTTCACAAAATTTATCATTCTTGCATCGAATACGGATTCTCATGATGACAAAGCAATTGTTCCTCTCATTGGAATTTTTTTTTTTTTCTTGCTGCCACTCCTTCCCATGTGCAGGATATTTCAACAGACAAAATAACTACTAACCACACACACTATAATGTATAGTATTTATGGCAAAACAAGCAAAGTGAATACGATTTTAACATATTGCATGGCCTCATTTTAGCTATTTTCTTTATTTCTTCGAAATATTTGAACTTCTAATTTGGAACATTGTTAACCTGAATGGTGTTATGCTGATTGTAAGTCTTATGTCAAATATCTTCAGCAATTGAATAGACATCTATCTGCCTCTGTAAATTGCAGTAATAATGACCATAGAGCTGAGATGACCATGGATCATGATTTTGATGTGAGCTGATGCTCTTAATAGACAGCTAGTTGAAATTGCTAAGGTTCCTTGGGTTTAGGTCAAGATGTGGACATCAATAACATGTTTCTTGCATGGACATGCATGATGGATACATCACTCGATTAAAAGTTTGACAATCAGATGCATAACCTATTAACCATCTCATGTCTGTGGCATGGTTCACGGTGCTAGGGTTTTACATTACTGTTGGCAATAGTATAGATCTGTCATGGATTGACTCGGACAGGTGTGTAGGGATACCATCTGCAGAGTCACATTCTAGAAACGTCTCCGACTGGTTCCTGTGGAATGTACTACAAAACACCATTCTGCTTCCTCCCACAGTGACTGTGTACAACCCGGAAACAGGCCAATGAAGTGAAGCGCCCTTTCAATCATTTGCAATAGTATTGAACTTTTGTGGTGCTGCTACAAGTCCAAAACTCTGACAGCCCCCCAAGCCATGGCTCCCAGAGGAAAGGGCATGATGGGATTTGTAGTTTTAGCACCGTGGAGTGGGAGATTGCCTTCCCCTGAGCTAGTCCCTCTCCTCTCTGTCCAAATCTACAAAGACAGGTTTTGGCCTCAGTGACACTTTACACGCGTCAGCCTCCAGCCCGCAGACAGTTGTCACAATGACTAGGGTGACTCCCTTCTCTTCCAGCACAGACACAACTATAAATCCCAGAGAACCTCAGCTTCTGTCCGTCATTAGGAGGAGGGAGAGGAATGCAGCTGAAGGGGTTCCGAGGGAGGAGCCAGGAGGAGACTGAGGGTTGTAGTAAAGGAGGAGCCAGGAGGAGACTGAGGGTTGTAGTGAAGAGGAAGGAGACAGGAGGAGACTGAGGGTTGTAGTGAAGAGGAAGGAGCCAGGAGGAGGCTGAGGGTTGTAGTGGAGACGGAGAAGCAAGGAGGAGACTGAGGGTTGTAGGGAAGAGGAAGGAGCCAGGAGGAGACTGAGGGTTGTAGTGGAGACGGAGAAGCCAGGAGCAGACTGAGGGTTGTAGTGAAGAGGAAGGAGACAGGAGGAGGCTGATGGTTGTAGTGAAGAGGAAGGAGCCAGGAGGAGGCTGAGGGTTGTAGTGGAGACGGAGAAGAAAGGAGGAGGCTGAGGGTTGTAGTGAAGAGGGAGGAGCCAGGAGGTGGCTGAGGGTTGTAGTGTAGATGGAGAAGCCAGGAGGCTGAGGGTTGTAGTGAAGAGGAAGGAGCCAGGAGGAGGCTGAGGGTTGTAGTGAAGAGGGATAAGCCAGGAGGAGACTGAGAGTTGTAGTGAAGAGGAAGGAGCCAGGAGGAGACTGAGGGTTGTAGTGAAGAGGAAGGAGCCAGGAGGAGATTGAGGGTTGTAGTGAAGAGGAAGGAGCCAGGAGGAGACAGAGGGTTGTAGTGAAGAGGAAGGAGCCAGGAGGAGGCTGAGGGTTGTAGTGAAGAGGGATAAGCCAGGAGGAGGCTGAGGGTTGTAGTGAAGAGGAAGGAGCCAGGAGGAGGCTGAGGGTTGTAGTGAAGAGGGATAAGCCAGGAGGAGACTGAGAGTTGTAGTGAAGAGGAATGAGCCAGGAGGAGACTGAGGGTTGTAGTGAAGAGGAAGGAGCCAGGAGGAGACTGAGGGTTGTAGTGAAGAGGAAGGAGCCAGGAGGAAACTGAGGGTTGTAGTGAAGAGGAAGGAGACAGAAGGAGGCTGATGGTTGTAGTGAAGAGGAAGGAGCCAGGAGGAGGCTGAGGGTTGTAGTGAAGAGGAAGGAGCCAAGAGGAGACTGAGGGTTGTAGTGAAGAGGAAGGAGACAGGAGGAGACTGAGGGTTGTAGTGAAGAGGAAGGAGACAGAAGGAGGCTGATGGTTGTAGTGAAGAGCAAGGAGCCAGGAGGAGGCTGAGGGTTGTAGTGAAGAGGAAGGAGCCAGGAGGAGACAGAGGGTTGTAGTGAAGAGGAAGGAGCCAGGAGGAGGCTGAGGGTTGTAGTGAAGAGGGATAAGCCAGGAGGAGGCTGAGGGTTGTAGTGAAGAGGGAGAAGCCAGGAGGAGGCTGGGGGTTGTAGGGAAGAGGAAGGAGCCAGAGGGTTGTAGTGAAGAGGAAGGAGCCAGGAGGAGGCTGAGGGTTGTAGTGAAGAGGGATAAGCCAGGAGGAGGCTGAGGATTGTAGTGAAGAGGGAGAAGCCAGGAGGAGGCTGAGGGTTGTAGTGAAGAGGAAGGAGCCAGGAGGAGGCTGAGGGTTGTAGTGAAGAGGAAGGAGCCAGGAGGAGGCTGAGGGTTGTAGTGAAGAGGGAGAAGCCAGGAGGAGGCTGAGGGTTGTAGTGAAGAGGAAGGAGCCAGGAGGAGGCTGAGGGTTGTAGTGAAGAGGAAGGAGCCAGGAGGAGGCTGAGGGTTGTAGTGAAGAGGGAGAAGCCAGGAGGAGGCTGAGGGTTGTAGTGAAGAGGTCGGAGATGGCAGCAGCTCTGGGATGGATGAACAGACTCTCTCTGCTGTCATGGAGCTCAGTGCTAAAGTCCAGATTTTCTATAGAAAAGGAACTTACTTCACCTCACACCACAGACTGGAGCCACCGAGGAGGACGAGGATGGAGATGACTACTAAAGTTTGCAGCAACCCTTTCACTGAGTTCCCGATAGTTTCCTTGTATGACGAGTCTGCGTGATCACATGTCAGGGAGGGACCTACGACTGTCACAAGATGGGACTGATGCCAAAAGTCTCGAGAGACCTTATACAGCTCTATGTGATGATGAGAACACTCCATCTTTGGTGGCCCCGCAAGCAACACCCGGCTTAACAAAAGTCAATGTAAGAATCCACTGAGCCTATCAGATCCAATCACTGTTCAGCAGTGCCATTGCAATTAGACAGCCGAGGGTGCCGCAGCTGCTGAATACAACGGCCAGCAGAGAAGATTCCTCCATCCACACTGTTTATCTATCGGTTCCACATAACAAGAGCAAGCGAGCCACCTAGGGTCAGGATTAATCCGCCGCAGCATCTCAGGAACAGAGACCCCCAGCGCCAGGTGGTGCTGCTATAAATTATAATGAAGAGACATCAACCCACTTTTGGGAATGCAGCTCAGTGTCGCGGATCACGGAGGACAGTCCACAGGACACGGTTACTCCAGGGCAGAGTCCAAAGTCCCAGGACTGTCCCATAAGATCTGAAACCACAAACTATGGGCCATATGTAGTCACCCCAGACGGTGATCCGCCCAAATACATGATAATTCCATGTGACAAATGAGCATCAAATACCTACAAAAAATAATTTTACCCAAATTTCTCATTTATGTCCCTGAAATATCCGGACCCATTTTTGTGTCACCCCTGCATTTTGACTGCAGAGACCCCAGTACACAGCTCCAGGGGGAAGGCAGGGACTGGATAATGTGCAGAGACTCCAGTACACAGCTCCAGGGGGAGGTCAGGGGCTGGATAATGTGCAGAGACCCCAGTACACAGCTCCGGGGGGAGGTCAGGGGCTGGATAATGTGCAGAGACCCCAGTACACAGCTCCGGGGAGGGGGGGGGCAGGGGCTGGATAATGTGCAGAGACCCCCGTACACAGCTCTGGGGGAAGGGCAGGGGCTGGATAATGTGCAGAGACCCCTGCACATAGGCACTCATGGGGTTAACGTTCCCTCCCTACGTCAGCGGGACAATAGGAAGTGTGGCATTCACTTCCTGCCGCTCAGCCATGGCGTCTGCTGATCTGAGAGAGGAGCTGAACTGCTCCATCTGCCTGGAAGTCTACGCGGATCCGGTGACCCTGAGATGCGGACACAACTTCTGCCGGTTCTGCATCAACGAGGTGCTGGACTCTCAGCGATCCCAAGGGGGGTTCAGCTGCCCGCAGTGCAGAGCGCGGTTCAAGCGGCGTCCCTGGCTGCAGAAGAACGTAACTCTGTCTAACATCGCCGAGCACTTCCGGTCGGCTCCGCCGTGCGAGAACGGGAGCGGGACCTTCTGCACCTCCTGCATCCACGCCGCCGTGCCGGCCGCCAAATCCTGCCTGCACTGCGAGGCTTCCCTGTGCGGGGACCACCTGCGCGTCCACAGCAAGTCCCCGGAGCACATCCTCATCGAGCCCAGCAATTGCCTGGAGGCCTGGAAGTGCCCCGTCCACAAGAAGGTCCTGGACTACTACTGCATCGTGGACTGCAGCGTCATCTGCGTCCTGTGCATGCAGGAGGCCAAGCACCAGGGCCACGAGGTGCAGACGGTGCGCGTCGCCTCCGCCTCCAAGGTGGAGAAACTGAAAAACGTCGTCAAGCAGTTCGAAGCCAACAGGCAGAAGAACAAGCGGCAGATCCAAAAGCTGCAAGAGGGCGCGGACAAGGCCAGCGCGGCGGGGGCCCGCGTGTCGAAGCGCGTGGCTTCCGTGTTCCGGGAAATCCGGGAAAAGCTGGACGCCCTGGAGGACCAGACCAGCAAAAACATCGCGCAGCAGCTGCAGCGCAACTCGAACGCCGTCCACACCGAGATCCAACTGCTGGAGATCAAGAACCACGTGATCTACTGCGAGATGTCCCGCCTCCAGGAGTTCTGTGAGGTGACGGATCCGATGGCCGTCCTGCGGGACCGCGATTGGAACAGAGACTTTGCCGTCCCGGAGAAGGGAGGCGATGGAGCCACGCCGGCGCCCGCAGACCTGGACGAGGTTCTGCTCTTTCTGCAGCTGCAAAGAAAGTTGTCAGGGGTTCTGTCCGGGGTCCGCGCCGCCCTGGACACGCTCCAGTTATCCAACCTCCGCTTCGACGGGAAGACGGCGGCGCCTAACGTGGCCCTTTCCTGCGACCTGTCGATGGCCCACGGAACGCCAGCCAGTCCCGGTGAGGAGGAGGAGGACACGGGGGACAGATTGGACTCTCAGCGGGTGTTGGGCACCACGGCGCTCCATTCCGGGCGCCATTACTGGGAGGTGGAGCTGTGGGACAGCAACAGGTGGAGGATAGGCATGGCCTACAACGTGACCGGGAACGTGGAGGAGGCCTGGTGCCTGTGCAGAGGCCAGAAAGGCTACTTCTTCAAGCAGGAGGGCAAGCACGTGCCCGTCCCCAAGACCTCCGACACGTTCAAGAGGCTGGGCGTATACGTGGACTACAAGGGGGGCCGCCTCTCCTTCTATAGGATGGAGCCGGAGGTCAGCCACGTGCACACTGTCCACACCGTCTTCACCAAGCCTCTTTTTGCCGCCGTGTGGGTGGGCTGCGGGGCCTGGGTGAAAATCATCAGATAGAAGGCGGCAATCGTTGTGACAAAGGGGAATGCGGCTTTAATTAAAGGGCCAGCGCGCCCAAAGGCGACATTCCAGTTTCTGGTTGGGTTATGAATAGTTAGGCTACATAGACCCGTGTCATTGTCAGAATGAACCCGTGCAGAGGGGCTACCCCAGCACTGCAAGGGTTAACCGCTAGTTTTATTCTGGGTCAGGGGCAGCCAAACTCCGCCCCCCCCCAGCTGTGGGGTGGAACAGTGCTTGAAATTTTCTGCCACTTCTCCCCACAAGCGGCCGGACTCCTCCTCAGCTCACCCTCCTAAACACTGCGCAGCGGCTGCGGAGAATGCTAGTTTTCTGGCTTCATTGCTTTCCCAGTCAATAACAAGCCATCATATTGGAAAGTCCGAGAGAAGTCAGAACTCCGGCGTGAGAAGTACTGAAGCCGGACAGCCAAGCATTGCAGAGGTCAGCCTAAATATTTGCTCAGTACAGGTTTCCTACATGACCCTTTGTAATTGTGCGGAAGCATTCAGTTGTATGTAAACCCCAAATCTATTTTTTTGCAGCATGTCAGGCATCAGCTTCTCTGCCGGAGACCCTGCTAGCGGAGGTGACAACACAGCTTCAACATTAGCAGCAGCGTTGTCAGCTCGCCGCACACTCTCTTCCTTTAGTTTGCTGTTGGGCTGCCTATCGGGTCTATGAGACAAACCAGTCCCAATGACCAACTGAAGATCCGATTAGTCCCATCGCACTCCTAACCGGAGAAAAACCCCCGACACACAGGGCGGGGGCCAGAGTGGCAGCAGATGCCTGTTCATTGTCTCCAGAGGCAACGAGAAAGCCCCCCCGCATTCCAATTCCAATGTACAGGGCGGGGGCCAGAGTAGCAGCAGTTAAAGACCTGCACCAGGCTGACAACGCAACAGTGAATTGTTCGGAAGTGGCTCAGAGTTGTCAGCTTGCAGCATAAAGTCGGGCAGCACAGTGGCGTAGTGGTTAGCACATCTGCCTTGCAGCGCTGGGGGTCTGTGGTTCATATACCTGTCAGGTCCCTATCTGCAAGGAGTTTGCCTGTTCTCCCTGTGCTTCCGCGGGTTTCCTCCCCACACTCCAAAGACATGCCGGAAGGTTAATTGGCTCCGGTCTACATCAGCCCCGTATGTATGTGAGATGGGGACCTTAGATTGCAAGCTCCTTGAGTGCAGGGACTGATGTGAATGTTCGCTATGTACATAGCCTGTTTCCCCCGAAAATAAGACCTAGTTGTGGCCATTCCCAGCGCCGGTGGTGGCATAAGGGGGAACTTGAAGAGCCGCAGGGGCGTAACTAGAAATCACAGGGCCCCATATCAGAGGTTCGCGAGTTGATGATGTTGACAGAACACCGGGTCCAGCCTGCTCCACCGCCGCTGCTGGCTCTCATTGACACTGGAGACGAACGCGCCGCTGCACAGATGATCCGAACAGCGGCGTGTTCGTCTTCAACCGCCAGTGAAAGCCGCCAGCAGAGGATCCCAGGCGGCCCGCATGGCATCTGGCCGGGCCCCACTGTGCCCCGGGCCCCATAGCGACCGCCTGGGTCGCTATGGTGATTGCTACGCCGCTGCGCAGGAGAGAATCGGCGGTGCCAACGAAGGCGGCAGCGGAGGGAACAGAGCCGCATAAGCCGATCCCTCCGCTCCGGGTGTCACCCAGCCTCGGGACGCCCCTGGATACAAGTATTCCTAGGAATGAGATGATGCGTGGACCTGTATGGGTTGGACTTGATGGTTTTGTCTTATTTTCGGGGGAACGCGGTACCAGTAATAATAATAATGTAACCGGCGGATCTCCAACTGAGAAACTTTTTAGTCTGTGTCCTCCCGTCACCCTAAGGAGAACTATGGGGGAAAGCCCCGACCTCATAATTCTCCTTTAAAGCTGAACTCCGGGAAACTCTCCCATTTCCCCCCCAATACTTCCCCTCCGCAGCTCCCATAACACGTAGTATCGGTTTTCCTCATTTATTTTCAGAGGAATCACGCGGGGTTATTCACAGAAGGGGTGAAGAGTTTGGAGAAGGCCGGAGAAGTGAGCAATCTAGGACAGGGGTAGCAAACCTTCGGCCCTCCAGCTGTGGGTGGAACTACAAATCCCATGAGGCATTGCCAGATTCTCACAGCCACCACTCCCGGTTAGAGATGCATCGTGGGATTTGTAGTTTCACCCCAGAGCTGCAGGACTCGGAGGTTTGGCTACCCCTGATCTAGGACAACATTGCTGAACTGGAGAGTGAGCTGAATTAGAGAATTTTTCCACATCAGCGAGGTTGTCCTAGACCAGTGGTGGGGAACCTCGGCACTCCAGCTGTGGTGTAACTACAAATCCCACGATGCATCTCTTTCCGGGAGTCGTGGTTGTGAGAATCTTGCAATGCCTCGTGGGATTTGTAGTTCCACCACAGCTGGAGGGCCGGAGGTTCGCCCACCACTGTCCTAGACTGTTCAGTTCTCCTGCCTTCTCCAAACTCTTCTGTCAATGGACCTGATCATTTACAAAGCCCGTCACACCATCAGAGGAACTCGCAGAGTGCGGGGCAATGCCCGGCCGCTGGCAGGAGGGATCATCCAGGCACCGATGTCACCGCTCTACAGGGAGGAAGCTGCGGAAATGGAAGTAGATCAATTTTACCAGAATTGGGTCACTAATAGGGGAAAATGAAGTCCTGAGTATTCATTGGCTCCAAGATACAGCTTCAGGTCAAAATAACGAGGGGGGGAGGAGGGGGGATGTGCGATTCTGCTCCATAACTGTACAATGTGATCTAGCGATGAGAACGGTGCCGCGCAGATCATTATCAATGTATCTTATTATGGATACCAAAAACAGAACTTTTTATTCATTTATTGTAGGGCTGTGCAAATTAACGATTCATTTCTCGATTAATCTTTTTGATCGATTAAATTTTTTTTGATCGCTAATGAAAACACTCAATAATATGGCCGCCTCTTGAGTAATCCAGCACGTTATTATTCTGAGTTGCCCCACTCAAGCGGCGGCCATATTGAGTGGGGCACCTGAGATAAATAACGTGCTGGATTAGTGTGATCCTCGTTCATTGTATTACTTCATCGCTGTGCTGTATGTGTATAGGCCGATGTAGTTGGATCTGTATGTGCGTTATCACTAATTTTAAAAAATTTCGATTAATCGAACACGAAAATTTTCATCAGTAACAGCCCTAATTTATTGGTTTTTCATGCTCTTTGCACACCATTGGGGACTGCGAATGGACTTTTTCTTCTTGTGTAGCCAATGACGCAGATAATTAGCACATGTGATGTAACAATAACGAGGGGCCCGATGTCCTGATCCCCTATTTTGCCTTTTTCTTACCACGGCCGTCACACTGCACCTTTGAGGTGCAAATGGAACCTCGCCACACATGTAGGCGTTATCGGCGTTGTTACACAGTTTGGAGGCATCCCGGCTTCCGAGGGAAGATATTGCGCAGCTGTTCCATGGAAATGTTCGGCGATGACACTTTCACCAGCCGCCGGATGTAACCGTATGATGCGCAGATCTGACCGAGACAAATGTACCTTGCAATAAAATAAATGAGAGTTCGGTAATAATATTTAGATACATTTATACACCTCCATGTGGCACCATTGTCATCCCGTACTTTGTCATCATCATCAGACTCCTCCCCCCCTTGTAGGCAAATATACTCCCCTGTGTATAAATCTTTACTGTGAAAACTTTAGCCGACCAACCAGAACCTTCGTCACCTGTTTTCTAATTCATCTCATCAGAATATATAAGAAGTAACACATTAGATCTCCGAGGTCAAACTTTGTAGAGCAGTGTTTCACATCGTGCCTGAGCGTACTACAAGCCCCACGATGCATTGGGGGCATTGCTAATGCCGGCGGGTGTCATTCGGGGCAGGCGTGGGAGGGCGGGACAGAAGGGAATCTCCTCGGCCTGCCAATCAACTTTTTAAGTCACTGAAGGGCAGAACAGACCGGGCGTCTGAGCAGCCAGGGACCGGAGTGATGTCATTACATCATATGACCAAACTACAGAAGACGGACGTGGCCACCGGAAATAAGGGAGAGAGGGCCCTGGAAAGCAGATGAGATGGGGATTATAGAATGGCTGCTGCTGCCGTAGAGTGCAGAATACTGCGAGGGATCACATTTACCAAACTGGCCCAGAATTCTGCCCGGAGTTCAGCTTTAAGGTTTACATAAAAGACGGCTAATGCGGGACGCAGCAACGCGGGAAGAAGAGTCGTACAAACACAGCATGGAACATCCGGTGCAAAAGCTGCACAAGTATTCTTCAAACATATACAGGTTGTGAGGACAGAAACACTTTAGACATGTGCCGGAAACCTGCACTCCGGGTACAATTCTATCCGGACGATGTGAACTAACACTGCTGCGGCTTTACGTCACCAGAAACTACATGACCCGGACCTGCCCATGTACTTTGGAAGTGCGGCTCCCCTCAGTGTCTATGGTCTGACCCGGACCTACCCATGTACTTTGGAAGTGCCGCTCCCCTCAGTGTCCGGGGTCTGACCCGGACCTACCCATGTACTTTGGAAGTGCCGCTCCCCTCAGTGTCCGGGGTCTGACCCGGACCTACCCATGTACTTTGGAAGTGCGGCTCCCCTCAGTGTCTATGGTCTGACCCGGACCTGCCCATGTACTTTGGAAGTGCGGCTCCCCTCAGTGTCTATGGTCTGACCCGGACCTTCCCATGTACTTTGGAAGTGCGGCTCCCCTCAGTGTCTATGGTCTGACCCGGACCTTCCCATGTACGGGGGAAGCGCGGCACCCCTCAGTGTCCGAGGTCCAGAGCTCATCACTCGCACATCGGTACTCCCCATCATTGTAGCACTACTGCACCGGACTGCCGCCACCTTACCAAATGCGCGTGCGCTGCTCTCACCTAGGCGCGGACAGATCGGAGCGGCTCATTGAGAATTTCGGCTCTAAGATAACGGTAACTACTAAAGTCGGGGGCCGGGCACTTGTAAATAAATGTGACCCAATTTGTAGCTAAACAGAAAACTCTGGAGATGGAATGTAACAAACACATAAAACCCAACAGCGCGCACAAACCCGACCCAACATCTCATGTCCAAGTCAGCGGCCGGCCAACGCGTCTGGGGGGCCTTGGCGTGTCACATGCCGAAAAAGTCTCGGTGTTCGGTTATGCTCCGATCGGTGTAATGTTCGCGGCGTCACCTTCATTCGTCCTTATGGGCCCATTTGTGCCTCATTAGCGCTGATCGGCTTAAGTACCGCTTGCCGCATTTGTGACACTTGTGGCGTTTCTTCTTGCCGTGCGTTTTCTCGTGTTTGACCAGCTCGCACCTCTTGTCGAAGCGCCGGTCGCACTTGGCGCACTCGAAGGTCTTCCCTTCTTTGTGCCGCCTCTCGTGGACGAGGAAGCTGCTCTTGTGGCCGAACCTGGCCCCGCATTCCTGGCACACGAAGGGCTTCTCCCCGGTGTGGGCCCGCTGGTGGATGATGAACTGGGATTTGTAGTCGTACTGGATGCCGCAGATGGGGCACGGGTAGCGTTTGACGGCGTGACTTACAGCCTTGTGCCGTATCAGGTCCTCTTTAGACGTCTGGCGTTCCCCGCAAGCGTCGCAGTCATGCGGCACCCCTTCCCCCTCGGGGGCCGGCGTGCTGGTTTCAGGCTCGCATTCTCCTCGGACTCCGTTCTCCGCCGTTCTGGGACGATTCGCGGCGTCGTCTTCCTCCTCCTCTGCCGAGTCCAAGGAATCGCACTCTGGCTTCCATTCCGGCGAGCTTTTCCTCTTTGGAGAGCCTTCAGCCTCTTCCTCCTCCTCCTCCTCACTGAAGTATTCTTCTTCTGTTGGAGAACACAATGACAAAGAAAATTAACAATAGAGCGGCGTCACTGCCATAGTGAGCTGACGACACACAGAGCCTCTATGGCACTGAAATCCCAAGTAGTATTGCCGGCCGTGTCTGAGTTCTCCCCGCTATACTACAGAATTCCCCCCCTCCCCATCTCCATAACTGTAGTCCAGCAAGGGGGAGCTCAGACAAGGCTGACAACACTGCTGGGGATTTCAGCGCAGCAGAGGCTCTGTGTTGTCAGCTTAAAGGAGAACTATGAGGGGAGGGGCTTGTCACTCACCTCATAGTTCTAGCCGACCTGTGACAATGAGACTGTCACAGGTCGGCTCAGTAGATCGAGAAGTGAGCGAACACATACTGGCGTTCGCTCACTTCCCGATCCTGTGCCAGCAGAGAGCCGTGACAGGGGAGGGGCTGGATTCCCCACTCCGATCCTCCAGCGCTGAGTGGCGGAACGGACGGGGGAGGGGGCGGGTACAGCTGGCTCTGCCTCTTGATAGGCGGAGCCAGCTGTCACTCACGCAGCTGGGCGGAAAATTGTCGGGATCCGCTCCGGCTGCGGCGTCTCAGTATACCGCGAGCTGTAGCTCCCTATATACTGAGCCTAGGGTGAGGGGAGGACGCTAGTTTGTGTCCTCCCGTTACCCTAAGGAGAACTGGGGGAAAACGCTGTTCAGAGGAAATGAAGGCGGGCTCAGTGTAGCTGCTGCAGCTACAAAGGGTTATATTGTGGAGATGTAATGCAGGGAATTGAGAGTACAGGCAGTCCCCGGGTTACGGACGTCCGACTTACGAACGGGGTCCACAGTACTGTACGGAACATTTAGGAGAACTGTGGCTGCAGCGGCCTGTGTCCCCTCAAATCCCCGCTGTTCTCCCCGCCAGTGTTGGTGGAGGCAGCGGGGACACTGACCGCTGCATTGCTCTCCTTACCATCTTGTCTTTGTATTGTGTTGTGATTGTAATGTCTGCCCTATATTGTAAAGCGCTGCGCACACTGTTGGCGCTCTATAAATCCTGTGTAATAATAATAATAATTGCTCCGCTGCCCCAGTACCTCTGCTGCTGTCTTCCCCTGGTCTGTTGGCTTCTCCGTTCCCCCGTCCAGCCGCTGCACCTCTGCCCCGCCCCCCTGCCTCATCTTCATCTGCAGGCTGGGAGCCATGCTATTGGATATTGTAAAATGCAATAGCCAATAGCAAGCTGGCTATTGCACCCGCCCACTGCCTGCTGTCAATCAGCATAGGGGAACCTGATAGAGAACTTTCTCCTTCAGGCCCCTCCTCTGCTGACAGCAGGCAGTGGGCAGATGCTATAGCCAGTGTGCTATTGGCTATTGCTCCCAGCATTAAAATGAAAAAAAAAGTTTAACAAAATGAAAAAATAAAATTAAAAAGACAAAACAAAATGTAAAAAAAATGTAAAAAAAGTTACATTCAAAAAAAATAAAGTTTTAAAAATAAAATTAAAAATAGAAAAAAATTTTTTTTTCTGTGTCATTTTAAATAATTGAAAAAAAAAATGATATTATAATCTTCTGAACAACAGGAACAGACAGCAAAACAAACGTGACCCTTCCCTGTGCTCTCCAAAACTAAAACATGTTTTTTTTGGCTGGAGTTACACTTAAAAAATTTACCTGCTCCGACTTACATACAAATTCAACTTAAGTACAAACCTAAAGTCCCGATCATGTATGTAACCCGGGGAGGACCGCCTGTGATCCATTTCAACACAGGAGAGGACTTGATACAAGTGTGGGAGAAAAGAAGGTACGGCTGGCTTCAGCTTAATCAGACGAGGGAAGTGTTGGTGAAGAAGAACTTGAACTTATGGCATCAGTAACGAGAATCGTCCTAGAATAAGAGTGACGCACATACTCTGCTACGATTGGCTGGAAGCATTACCTGAATCCCAGTGTTCCTGGACCCGCCAGGTGCGCTGTGCCGGGCCGTTATCTGCCACCGTTTCCGCGTATTTCTGCCGGTGCCTCTCCATGTAGCTCCATTCATCCAGAGTGAAGAAGACCGCCACGTTGCCGCACTTCACCGGTACCTGGAAGACAGGCGCCACATCAGCCAGAATTCTGGAAACGGGAGCAAAGGGGAGGCGGGGCTGTTACCCACAGAGACCAATCAGGGCTCAGCTTTCATTCTGAGGTGACGCAACAGTGACCGTGATTGGCCGATGGGGTGAATTGTCTCCAGTTTTATAAAGCAGATTCCTCGTTCTTTATGACCGGACTCATGAAGAAGCTTCTCCTCGCCAGTCACATGGCTGCCCCTCTATGACTTCATTACATTCAATGCAGGATCAGTGGCCCTACACTGTATGTAGGGACATGGAGGGGCCCGCCCACACTGCGGGAGCGGAGGAAAGAACTGGCCCTGGAAAATGTGCTTAAAGGAGAACTACGGGGTTAAGACTTTTCCCCATAGTTCTCCTCAGGGTAACGGGAGGACACAAACTAGCGTCCTCGCGTCACCCTAGGCTCAGTATATAGGGAGCTACAGCTCGCGGTATACTGAGACGCCGCAGCCGGAGCGGATCCCGACAATTATGTCTGGATCCCCCCAACTGCGTGATTGGCAGCTGGCTCTGCCTACCTAGAGCCAGCTGTACCCGCCCCCTAGGAAAATCCCAAATTAAAATGTATATCCAAATTGTCCAGACAAGAAGCGAGAGGAAATGTCCCCAACATGGACACAGATGGCAATAAAACCTGACAGAAGCTCTAATCCGCACTCCGTCCTAAACTAAATAAAAGGCTTTGGCTGGAGTTGGGCTTTAAACAAAATGTTTGCAGACGTGCCCTTTAAAGGAGAACTATGGGGGGGGGGGGTGCTTTTCACTCACCTCATAGTTCTAGCCGACCTGTGACAATGAGACTGTCACATGTCGTGGATCCGCTCCGGCTGCGGCGTCTCAGTATACCGCGAGCTGTAGCTCCCTATATACTGAGCTTAGGGTGACGGGAGGACACTAGTTTGTGTCCCCCCCCTGACCCTGAGGAGAACTAAGGGGGGAAAGCCCTGACCTCATAGTTCTCCTTTAAGCCGGCAATGTCCAGGTCACCCACTGTATCTCCAAGGATTTTGGAATAAGAGAGTCTCACCGGGTCACTCACCTCTCCGGTCAGCTCGTGGATTCCCTTATGGATGGAGTCTTTCTTCACAATCACCCATTCCTGTTGGCAAAACCAAAAAATACTGACGTGGCCACAATTCAATGAACCACAAAAAACAAACAATACATGAAAAGTGACAACATTATGTGCAGCGGATGAGCAAAACCTGGACGGACGGGGAGCAGCAGCATGTCCGAGGTGTGTCATGTGACCCTTCTATATGTGTATTACCGCCCACAGAGATCACAGGACAATGCCTTCATCTGCAGATAGATGAAGCAGAAACCCCAGTGCTGCAAGGAAGGAGTGCCAACCACGAAGCCGCTGTGCTTATAACTTCGGCTGCTCATATCTCTAGATCCGCGGTTCTCAACTGGTGGGTCGCGTCCCCGTGTTCCGTGCGTCCCCGCGTGCCTTCCACTTTTCTAGGCTCCTCAGCCTCCCCCTAGCACAGCGCTGTCAGTTCTGACACCGAGCCGCCATTCAGAATACGCCGAGTGTCAGCTTGAGGTGAGGTATGGCTGCGAGGGAGCTCCACCCATACGTGCATTGCTTGCAGCTCCCTTGCGTGACCGCAGTGACATCACGTTCTGGCACCTCTACCGGGAGTGCAGGGGAGCTGTGCAAGCAATGGAGCTCCGCCACAGCACGGCAGCCAACACTGGACCCCTCATTTTTTTGGGGGGGGGTGTATGTGAGTGTGTGAGAATGTGTGTGTCTGTCAGTGTTTTAACCTCCCCGGCGGTCTGATTATTTAATTTTTTTTTTCCTATTTTTGTTCTATTTTTCCTTTTAAAATTCCCGCCGGTTCCGCCCCCCTTGCGACGCGGACGCTCGCAAGGGGCGGAACCCGGAGGACTTCCCCCCCCCCGAGCCGCACTCGGGAATACCGCCAGGGAGGTTAGTCACAAACTACCGCGCAATCGCACCTACAGTTCAGCTCTGGCCCGGGAGGGGCATTGCCAATCATTTGAATGGCACCCCAAACACACCTCCCACCCACAGTTTGGTCGCTTGCACTGGAACATGCGGTACCGCAATGCCGTGCGCTCCAGCGCGGTGCGACTTGGGTCACGACTTGATGACCGAGGACGAATGTGGGTCCTGAGGTGACACAGGCCGCGATCCGCTGACCTAGATCTACTGTGGTGGTTTCCCTTCTGCAGTTCCTCATCATATGTATAGGTTCAGATTCTACATGTGACAGGTTCTCTTCATAAACAATGAAGTTCCCTTTATCGCAATGTTGGCTCAGCCTGCTGGAGGCGGTTGTTGTCATGGCCTCACCTCCCCCGTGATGAGTGTGATAATCTCCAGGGTTTGATTCAAGATCCGCGCCGTCTTCAGCTCTTTCTTCCTCCGATTCCTCCACAGGACGCTGGTCACATACTGCAGGATGGCCAGCTGTGAGGGGAGACAGGAGGCCAGAGGTCATAGAGGAGAGGAGGCCAGAGGTCATAGAGGAGAGGAGGCCAGAGGTCATAGAGAGGAGGCCAGAGGTCATAGAGGAGAGGAGGACAGAGGTAATGGAGGAGAGGAGGCCAGAGGTAATGGAGGAGAGGAGGCCAGAGGTCATAGAGGAGATGAGGGAGGACGGCCAATGGGCCCATCTGAGGGAGGACGGCCAATGGGGCCATCTGAGGGAGGACGGCCAATGGGGCCATCTGAGGGAGGACGGCCAATGGGGCCATCTGAGGGAGGACGGCCAATGGGGCCATCTGAGGGAGGACGGCCAATGGGGCCATCTGAGGGAGGACGGCCTGGGTCAGCGGACTTTGGGCCTGGGTCAGTGGAGTTACGGCCTGGGTCAGCGGACTTTGGGCCTGGGTCAGCGGACTTTGGGCCTGGGTCAGTGGACTTACGGCCTGGGTCAGCGGACTTTGGGCCTGGGTCAGCGGACTTTGGGCCTGGGTCAGCGGACTTACGGCCTGGGTCAGCGGACTTTGGGTCATCAGAGGGCCCCTCACACTTCATTGCTGGGGACACTTGACCTGCAGCTGACCTCAAGGTGGGTTTTGCATTCCCATAGACCGGTATAGGAATGGAGAACCGACTTGAAGTGGACCCAAGCCTGTAGACACAGACCATACTGTGGAAAGAACAGCACACTATGACCCCTCATCAAAACGTATCCACCCCGGGGTCAGACTGTACGCCCTGAGATCAGCTACAAGGCCCGGCAACATATAGGCAAGCGTAAGAGGAGGCGAGGTGGTACATACCAATTCCCCCTCAGAGTCCATGTCTTTGTAGCAGCTCTCGATGCCGTTCCTCAGCGCAGAGCGATCGATGGCTCTTCGTACTTTGTAGTAATGATCATGGAGAACCTTCCAGGCCGGGCCGCTGGTCTCCTGCTCTGGCCATTGCACCGCTTTTTCTTCCTTCTGGACCGTCGCGGACGACAAGCTGTCCCTTTCACTGAGGGCATCTGGAACATGGCTCTCTGCTCCTGCAGCTTCAACCTTAGGGCCCGCGGCGGTGTCTACCTCAGGCTTCTGTCCAACGATGGCTCCACCATTGGCCAAGGTGTTAGCCGACCACGGGTTCACGTTTGCTACACCGAGGCCATTGTTGGCCCACGAGGAGTTGGCCATATTGGCTTGAAGATGAGGAAGAATCGGCATTTGGAGGGACTTCATAGCCCAATATGGTGGAGGGACGGCACCGTCTGTGCTCACAGCCGACTTCTCCGTGTCTGGGATGCTCCCGGCGGCTTGGGTCCCTCTATTCACCGGAGGTTTCAGAGGTCTGACGGCCTCCACCTTTACAGCTGTCTTCTCCTCCTCCATAAACATCATCCGAGGAACGGCTCTCTCCACTTTCATGTCCATCTTCTCCGGGAAAACCATCGGATGGAAGGCGTCCTCCATCTTCTGCTTCTCCGTGAAAACCATCGGATGGAAGGCGTCCTCCATCTTCTGCTTCTCCATGAAAACCATCGGATGGAAGGCGTCCTCCACCTTCTGCTTCTCCGGGAAAACCGTCGGATGGAAGGCGTCCTCCACCTTCTGCTTCTCCGGGAATATCCTCGCACAGGGGGCGCTCTCTACCTTAACAGCCGGCTCACCCAAAGACATGGTCGGCACGGCATCCTCCAACAGTATCTTCTGGGAGCCCACAAAGTGGTAGCACCCCATGGCGAAGTGCGCTGAGCAGATGCGGATCACGCCGGCCTTCCCCTCCAGCACCCCCCGCGCAAAGGCGTCGACGTCGCCGAAGTTCTGATTGATCTGCAGCAGCCACTTTTTGATGGTGGCCAGGGTCTTTGGGAACATGTGGAAGGTGACCCCCGGGGTGCTGTTCTTCCTCCCGGAGTAATGCGGGCATCCTTGTACAATGCCCCGTGGCATCTCTCTGGCCTGCGGGGGGAGCACAAGAACGGGAAGTTACCTGAGGGAGTGTCCACCCTAAGTCTGAAGCACCACTTACCGTAAGACAGTG